TTCATTTTCATGTTTTCTAATTGTTTAGTAATTAGAGTAATCTGTTTGCACAAATTGTCTAATTCTTCTACATTTTCTTCTTCTAAAAACTCTTGTTCAAGTTCTTTTAATTTTTCTTCTTGGGTTTTTAACAAAAAAAGTGTTATTCCTTTTGACTTATGCTTTTCAATGAAAATCTTAAGAATTATTTTAAATCCTTCGTTTCTATCTATAAAATTACACCTACTACAGACTGATATTATAGTATCTTGCAGATCTTTGAGTTGTGTTTGGATCTTATAAAAATTTTTATTTATATCACTTTCTAGTTGTGGGATTATTCTATTATACATTTTTAAGCTTTTATTGCAAATTTTTCAGCAATCGCTTTTAATATCTTAAGAATTTCTTTTACTTTAAGTTCTATATCTTTAACTCAAGATATCAAAGTTTTTGAGTCTTTGATAAACTGTATTTCTTCTTGTATTTCTTTTAGATCTCTAGAATTTTTTACTTCATTAATTTTTTCCTTGATAGAATCAAATTCTGAAGAAAGGGATTTTCCCATTTCTCTAATTTTTCTTAAAGTATTGTCATTGATAGTTTTCATCTCAAGAATTTTATCAATGATAATTATGTCTTCTGTATATACCATGCTTCTACCTAATGTATTAAGTAGATACATGTTAATCCTACCTATTTGTTCTTTATTCATGTTGATTTTAGTATTTCAACAATTTCTCTTAATTTTTTAATTCTCTATTATCTAAATCTAATTTATCTATTACATAGTTGTATTATTGAGTTTATTCTTTCTTTTTCTTGAATTCTTTGCCTTAACTCAAAAAAAGCTTTTTTTTTTTTAATTTTAGCTAGAATTTCTTCTTCAGAATGAACCACCTGCTCAATTTGGTTGCAAATATTTATTGTAGTTCTTGTATATGAAGCTATATCTGTCATTAGAATTTATTGGGACTTTGCTTATCGCTTTTGTATACTTCAAGGACTAACTACTTAGTTTTTCTTTTAACTGAGACTTAACGTCTTCCATTAGTCTAAGGGTAAGTTCAAGGTTATAAATCCTTATACTTTTAAGTTCAGGGTTATAAATCCTACACTTATAAGTTCAAGAGTAAACTCCTTCAAAGTTAGTAAGTTAGGAGGCATTTTGAGGGTTTTTGCCGTTAAATCAACCCATAAACAAATTATTTAAACTTCTTATTATTTGGATCTATAGCTTGTAGCCATAGGTGGAGTGGTCCAGCAATAGAGAGTTCAGTAGCTCAGCAGCAGTCGTAGAGGCAGTTTAGCAGTCCACAGATCGACTTCGACTTTGAGCAGTAGCAGTAGCAGTAGCAGTGGCGTAGTAGTAGCAGTGGTGCAGTAGCAATCTAAACTCTAGATGGATTTGGTTCAGCAACAATAGTCCAAACTCCAGATGGATCCAGTTCAGCAGCAGCAGTGTGTTCAAGGCAGAAAGGTAAGATGTGAAATAGAGAAGGGTAGAAGGGCGGCAATGAAGGGAATCAAGGGATTTGAGGCTTGAGATTCATAGGGGAAGGCCAAAGGGGAAGGTCGAAGGTGACTTAGGTGAGAGAAAGAGAGAGTCTGAGAGTGAGAGGCAGAGGCAGTGTGAGAACTGGAGAAATGAATAAGGTTACTTAGAGTTAAAAGGATTGGATCAGATTGGGTTGGGTTGGAAAAAATTGGGTTAAATTTTATTGAATTGGGTTTGGGTTTGAAAATTATATTAAATTTAAAATGAAATTAATTTATATATTTTTTTTAAATTTTTCGTGGGGATGGGGATCCCTATGGGGTGAGGAAAATTCCCTATGAAATTTCACGGGGGAAAATGCCCCCCTTCCTCGTCCCGTGGGGAGGAATATTCCTCCCCAGCCCGTCCTTGTAACAGGGATCCCCGCGGGGCCTGGTGGGGATCGTGGCAAATTGTCACCCTTACTAGAAACTTGCAATTGGGCAAAAAGAAAGCTGGTTAGTGTGTGTGCCAAAGGTTGCTTTGGCATATGTGAAAGAATTGTATGCCCTGTGAAGCGATGATTATTTATTTACATGTAAATTTCTTTTTGAGTGATTTAATAAAATGTTATTGTCCTTAGATCATACATTAATAAATCATCTAGATCATGGAGATAATCAACGAAAAGATTTGATAATCTTAAAATTGTTTGCAACTATAAATATAATTTGGACAATATGCTTAACTTGGTTGTTACGTGTTGTACTACTATAAGTGATAGAGTTGTGAATGTTAACCATTAGAGTAGAGACTCCTAGTAACATAATGAGTATTTGAATAAGATAAATTTTGAATTGTGCCATATAGAATAATCTTAAGTTAATAACTATCAAAGAAAAGATTATTCTACCCACAATTTACGAAAAGTCTTTAGATCTAAAAATGTTATTTAATCTTATGTATAAGTTAGTTTTGATATTGTCAATTGGTGATATCCAATAAATGGGATATATATAGACATATTAGATTATATAATAAATACATGAAGATTTATAGTTATCTAATAGGGAACTATCACTTTTATTGTAAAAGAAAATATTCAAGTTTGTATTTCTTTTATGTTGGACAAAAATCTAGTTGGTCAATTTAAAAAAAAAAAAAGTTTTTTAAACTCAATTTTAAAAAATTAAATTTTATCAAAATTTATTTTCTAAATCATTTTAAATTTATAAATATTTTTAAGAGACACACATACATATAAATTTTAGATGATAGTTCTAAAAGAAATCTAATTCGATTAGATATTATATGGAATATTAGTTGGTACAGCACTATTATGCAAATACTGTGGTTTGAGAGATCTCACAATTTTATTTATAATTTCTTGAATGAGATTGTTATCTACTAATAGGTTTTGATTACAATTCTAAATTGGTTTAAATTCAATTTGCCAAGAGATTAAGATATCAAAAGAGTCCCATGCAATATGTTATTAGAATTCTAGTCTAATTATATAAACTCCCTTTGTATAAAACCTATTGATTTATTGATAAGATCTTAGTTTTCTATAAGAAAAATAGTGAAAAATAGTGGGGGGAGAAGCCATCACTTCTCTAGAAGACAGAATTTCAGTATCGTGTGTGAATTTCAGAGGATTTTGCACGTGTAAAATCTTTGTGAGTTAATTTTTATATGAACATAATTGTATCATGTGGACTAACAATTTGTTTATAATTTTTAATTTGATTAAGTGAATTATAAACCTTCAATGGTATCAAAACTGGCCCTTGCATCATATGTTCTGTAATTGTCTTTCCTTGCATGAATAGATCGTGTTTAATTTTCTAACATGTTCTAGCAACAAGTCGACATAATTCTCTACTTGTCAATTTGGCGTACAAACTAAATATTCATAGATACATATTTAGCAATAACTATAAATCTCAATTTAATTTTGATGCATTGTTGGCAATTAAATAGACATATATTATGCATTGATTCAATTCTTGGCTTTGACATGATTGTGTCGTTGATTTCTCTTATTTGATATATGATGATCTATGCTGAATGCATAGTTTATGGTTATGTATTTGATTCCAAATTAATATTAGATACTGTTTTACAATTTCTTGATTGTCAAGTTTTGCAATAATATTAAATAGTTAGTGTCATGCGATTATTTTGTTAGCATATGATCTAATGAATTAAAATTAGTAATAGTTTCAAAGATTTAATTTGTATGATAGATTTAATTAGTTTCATGATAATAAGATTATTCTTCTTCATTGCATGATAATATCAAGTGTTAGAGATAGGAAACAACTCCTAAAGATGTTTTCTAAAGGCCTTCCATTATTAATAAATAGTGTCAATGATTTTGATGATTAATTGAAGCCCAAATGATAAAATTTTTCTTTGATTATCATTGTTATTATTTATTTCATGGAGGTGAGAAGATATGTCATAGTTAGTGAGAGTATCAACTAAAATGAAGGTATTATCATAGTAAATATGATGTATATGGAATAATGGGTTTACACTTGACTAATAGGATGTATCAACTTGAAACAAGTGGCTAGTATGTTTTTGTTTGAGGCCAAATAAAATAGGAATCTTATTAGTATAAGATAAATAAGTTGTATTTGCTTTATTAAAATACTTAATATACTTCAAAAGAAGTTATTAGGTGATTAGATGAAATTCCTATGTCTCACTAAAGACATTAGATGTATAATTAAAGTTTAATATTTGAGGATATTAAACTTGTGTAATGAAATAAACCATTAAACATACGAAATCCCAATTTAATGGTTTCTACATGTAATATTTTATTATTTTGGTTACTGCTTTGTAGAAAGATGAATAACTTTAGCTCACTTGCAAAGATTTTGGGTGAGAATCATTTCAAAGTCCAAATTATAGTGATTGGAAAATGAATTTGAATATTGTACTCAGTACTGAAAAGTTGGTTCACATTTTGAATGAAGAATCACCAAGTATATGCTTGAACTAGGTGTAGACAATAAAGTTCAAGAACCTTATCAATCCTTGGCTAAAGTGCTATATATTAGCATCTCTTGAAAATAAGCTTTAGAAGCAACATGAAAAAATGGCTACTATTAGGGATATAATGGCAAGTTTGAAAGAGATGTTTGGACAACAAAATTGTTTTGTAAGGCAATTTGTTATGAAAAGGCTTATGTCCACCATGTTGACTAAAAAAACTTCAATACATGACCATGTCATGACGATGATAGGCTTTGTTAATGAGCTAGAATCCCTTGGGTCTAAGATGGACAATGAGACAAAGATAGATGTGATCTTATCTTCACTACAAGATTCATTTAATAAATTCTTTTTGAATTTTAATATGAATAAGATGGTAGTGACCCTTTCTAAGCTTCATAATATGTTGCAAAGAGTTGAGGGACTAACCAAGAAGGAGAAGACTATTATTACGATAGCAAACAAAGGAAAGTCCTCAAAGCCCAAGTACAAAAGTAAGAAAAAACAAAGGTGTAAACAAACTGTAATACCCCCAAAATTTTCAAGAACAAATAAGTTTGAACTAGGGACCTAATTGTAAGAAAATATTATTAGTGAACCTAATGGAAATTTGTGTTAAAATCAAGGGGCTTAAAAGAGGAAATTTTGGATAAGGATGGCTTATTTCTTTCCTTCTTCTTTCTTCTTCTTCAGGCCGGGTGCTTCTGCTCTTCCCGACCCTGCTGCAGCCCGAAACAAAAAAAAAAAAAGGAACCAAGCAAGCCGACAGCCATCCCTTGGAAAAAACCGGTAGAAGCTTGAGATTTTCCCTTCTTTTCTTGCTCAATAACAAGTTTTAGGACTTAAAACTCTCTCCCTCAACCCAGAAATCCCAGATCTGCTCTGCTTCTTCCTCCCTTGTCCGTCGGTTTCTGCTATGTGGGTTTGAAATTCTGGGCTTTTTCCGGTAAGCCACAGCCATGAACTTCATCCCTTAGCCTTGATTCAAGCTGGGTTCACTCTAATTGCTCTTATTTCCTTCAATTTTGTGCTAATTTCTCTCCAATTTTCGGCAGCCTCTCTCACCGCCAGAACCGGCTTTGCTTGCTGAATTTTCTGGTATGTGGCAACTCCTTTAAGTCCAAATTTCATCTAATTGGTGGTTTCTTTGCTGAATTTGGTCCTTTGTGTGGCTGCCCTGTGATTGCCGAATACTGCCAAGAAAAAAATGGGGGAATTTCGGTAGCTTTAAGTGGGTTTTGTTTAAATTAAGTGGAAATTAGCTTGAGTAATTGTTGTGAAATTGTCTAGAGGAAATGCCGTGTGTTAGCCACTAGATTGCCCAAAACCGGTTCTTCCATTTTGTTGTCTGTGGGATTAGGGAGCTATGTATGTATATATATATATATATATATATAT